TTTTTGATATTTAAGGCTTCAAATACGAGGTTATTAACCGATTAAACTATATTATTTAATATTACATTATTAAATTAACTGATGGAGATGAATTTCTAATAATATACAGAGTGATTAAACTAGCAAGCTCGCCACCATTCTTAAATGTACTAATGAATTTATCCAAATTCTGATTTTTGGTATTTTTAACTATACTTAAGGTTAAGGACCATATTTTCAAATATTTAATTGCTTGTATCAATTAAAGATAGTTAGCTTTTATAGACAAATTACGGTACCTATATAAAGTTGGTTTTTATCTAAAAATAAAAAGTTGTTAAAATCGGTACAATTGGCAGGGTATAGGTTGTATAGGGATATCAGTGGTGTAGCCCGTTAACTGGTCGGAGAGTGCATTTTAGGTTTTTGATATTAATTAATGAATCTTTAGTTACTATTTGGTATAAAAAGTCTCTGGCAGAATATTTAGATTTAAAAAACTATTAACGTAATATCAGTTTTAAAATATTTTATCAAAATTATTGTTGGTTTGCTCATAATATATTTGTTAATGATATCGAAATATGTAGAATCTGTATATCGCCGATTGTACTACCATAGGTCACTTCTAAAATGTTATAAAAAAACTAAGTATTTAAAAATGGTCATTATTAAATGGTACATAATATACTTAAAAATTCCAAAAACAGAATCATTATTACACGGATACATTATTATTTTATTTATTTTATAGGTACTCAGATGTTTGTGTGAAATAATACTATTAACTTTTTACTTATGTTAAATGAACTTGCATAAAATACACAGTGTTAAGTTCGAGTACACTTTGAAGCTTACAGATCATTTATGATATTATGTATGTGAAAAATACGATCTATACTCTACGTTCAGCCAATTAATTTGTATTTATTAATTTACAATGGTGGAGAGTTGTGTTTACATAGATGGACAAACAATGAACCACTGCATAGTGCACACATGTTGTAATTGGGCCAAATTCGGAAAAATGAGTTTTTTGCATGGTTGTCTTGTTGACAACTTTCTACATATTGTGTACAAAATATGTTGTAAGTGTATAGTACATATTTTGTCTGCTAGAGGTCAGCGCGTTTGTTGTAGCGTATGTAATCTGCGTGATATAAAATCACAAATTTTCGTTCTCCTGAACAATTACGAAAATGTCACCACATCTGTGCGCTAAGATTTTAGTCCATCGGAGTCGTGAATCACTGTTAATGGTAGTTTCAACGACCATGATACCCACATCACTGCAACAATACATGTTAAAAAACCATATAACATATTATTTTAGTCCCCGTGACTTTGAATCATTATAATATATTTCAATAGATCATGAAAAAATAATAATGATAAAATGGTATACTCGGACGAGTATACTCCTCTACCTATAACTGTAATAGCTAGCTGACCTAGGGTCACGGTCGAAATAGACTCGCGGGTTGATGTAAAGGTCGACGGTGGAAACCGCATCCATCAACGATGCCTTCTGCTGCACGTATACCTCCTGCACGTGTGTTATTATACTTTGGTAGTCGGCACGTGGACTTTTATTCATTTATATTTAGTCATACTTACTCGTTGTGTGGTCGTTCACCCGGGATACTAAAATAACATCAGCTTCTATAATAATTATCCTATACAACTAGCTACCAGAAAAAAACAGTGGTGCACTAGACACTTACAGGTCCAAAAGTCAAATATAAAATGAGACCCCTACCCAAAAATGTAAATAATTTTACGGTCTTATACAATCCAAGGTACTCTGTACACCGCTTTCTCACTTCCCATAGGGTTATCAAAACCGTTTTCATGCAGTTGAAAGGTGGTATTTTTCGTGCATTTAGACCAATAAGTGGAAGAAAATATTATACCAACGTCCGGAAACCCGATTTTAATTTTTAAAAAAATATTCTAATTCCTTATTCGTTTTTCTAGGTTAGAAAATTGGGTTTCTATTTTATTTCTGTAGTAACACTAAAGGTGAATTTTAAAAAAAAAAAACAAAGAAAATTGATTTGGTACTATATTATAGGTAATTAAACATTACAAAAAATATATCACAGATTTCCAAAAATCTTTAATAACATAATACTTTCGGGCAACTCACGCACACTTATGTCAGCCACTACACACTAACACACACAGTCAAACATCACTCACGATGGGTGGCTTTCATTAGGGAGAATAACTCAAAATGTTATATCGTTTGGACGAATATTGATACATATTATTTGGGCCCCTAATATATATAATAGGTACATCGTTTAGGCAATCTTATATACCGCAGAGTATAATAGAATGATCCAACGAAAAAAAAATTACTACTAGACAGATAGACTAAATAGTTAAAGATATAGCAATAATTGTGAAAATTATGTGGATAATAAATAATTTAAGAAATATACTTATGTCAGAAATTCCCAAAAATAAATTTCAAGAAATAAAAACACTTTTAAAATATTGATTATAACCATCGACCCTAATATACTACTAGACAAGCAATGCGTGTAAGGACATTTTAACAACATAGAGGGCGATTTTTGATTACTTAGTTACTCAATATGATGGTAGGGCGGCCAGTGTGGGATAATAGGGTAATATAGTATAGATTTTAGATTCTGAGCGGAGCGATGAATGTATTGGTTTTACAATGATGTATGTTTTTATTTATATTTTTATTTTTTTGTGTCTGTCATCACGTTTTAGGACAGTAAAAGTGCTTCGATTTTCTTCAATAGTACCTTTTCTGATAGGAAAGTGAATCTAGTTGGTACTTTGGGGGGTCAAAAGTAAACATTTCCCAGTAGTTTTCACAAGCGCCGGGAAAAACAACATAAAAATTAAGGAAAAACGGGAATTTTTACGCAAAATTGGTTTTCCAAAAAATCGATTTTGCTTATTGGTGTAACTCTAAAACAAATGAACGTATATACATGAAATTTTCACTGATTGTTAATATTTGCATTTTCTATACACGATAACATTTTCAAAATATTTTGATTTATTTTGAACTGTTTAGGGACATTTTCATTTTCCATTTTTTTTTAGTTTTTTTTCTAGAAATATCAATAAAATTTTATTTGTTGGTTGCGAAAGCTTGAAAATTTAATAGAAGGCTCCTAATATGTTGTTTCAAAGACAGATGAAAAATATTAAAAATCCTTAGTCACAATTTTTTTTTATAAGCATTTAAAGTTCAAAAATTGACAAAATATGGAAAAATCACGAAAATTAGCAAATTATTTTGAGTTAAGAATTCGTAAAAATTGTTCTTTTTAAATCTAAGATTTGAAAATGAAACACAAGATTCCTTATAAGATTATCTACCTTTATCAATAAAAAAATCTCTACCGGAAAGTCAAATTAAATTTTTATGAGCGTTTGAAATTCAAATTTTTACAACATTGGATTTTCACTCGATTTCTCATGTAGCGATTTCCTTATTTTATTGTAATTCAAAAACGAATAACTGTAGATACATGAAAATTTCACTGAATGTTTATATTAGCATTTCCTATACACCATACAATTTTGAAAATATTTTGACTCTTTTTGAGCTGTTTACGGACATTTTCAGTTTTCAATTTTTTTAGTTTTTTTTTTTATAATTGTCAATAAAATTTTATTTGGTGGGCCAAAAAGTCTGAAAATTGAATACAAGCTTTCTTATATATTGTTACAATATCTGTTGAAAAATTTTAAAAATACATAGGCACGATTTTTTTTTATAAGCATTTTAAGTTGGAATTTTGACAAAATTTATCAAAATCTCGAAAATTATCAATCGTTGGAATTAAAAAATTATAAAATGTTCAGTTTTTATAACTAAGAGTTGAAAATTTAAAACAAAGATTCTCTTAAATAATTCATACTGTAACCAAAAAATCTAAAAAATATATAAACACACTTATTTTTTACAGACATTTTAATTTCAAATTTAGACAAAATTTCATATTTAAACCAAGAATTACGATTTTAGTTATTTTGTTGTGATTGTATAATATTATTCGTGGGTACTTGAAATTTCTAAAGTAATCTACTATATATATCTATGATAGTATCAGGGTTTGTTGTTGGTGTATAACACGTTATAAGTACCTAATGGATATTGTGATATGATTAATTTGGAATTCATTATAGGTCAATTTTTTTTAATACCATAGATATGTATATAATATGTCTTATACCTAGAAGGACATACCGTCTCCGCTCAGAATCGTTTTTCTTATACAATGATATTATATCATTGAATTCAAATTTAATACCATCCATTATACAATGACCCACTTGTAACCTACTGTACAGCAGAGCGACACCCACTTGACAACCTTTTTTGTATTTTGTCGTCAAGATAAAATCACTGCCAGTTGTTGTTACGCCTCTCTTAATGCGGTTGTTATATATATATATATATATAAAGATCTTGTCTAATAGTATAATGTCTAAAGATTATAACAAAAGTTATTGCATGAGTCAGTTATTTCTGTTACACTCGGTACATAATTTAGGAAAAACTTGTATGGACACCTAATAATATGTCCAATACATTTTCCTTTCCGTTTTTAGAGACTCAGTTTTGAGCACTTTAAATTAATGATTATCGGCCGAAACTATAATGTAGGTACCTTGTGATTATTATAAAAGTTGTTATATATGTATAATACTAGTATAATATACTGTCTTACATATTATAATTACAATATACTACTCTGTATATTGTATACCTATACATTAAGTACCTACTTAATTACTAAGCTCAAGATATGCTAATTTAGGTACCGCTTGATACAACAAATTCACCCCAATGTTAATATCTCGTCCAGATTATATGTTCTACTTAGGTAAAAACTGGGTCATTCGCTCAAATGAATGACGCCCCTCACGATGGATGTAGACTATTGCTAGTTTGTAATTTGCACCACTACAAGTAGCCGAAAACAGTGTTTGCAACTTGAACCAAAATAAGGGCCTGTCATTTTCATTACCGTATGTAGTTGAAAATAGTGTTTGTAATTTGCACCAAAATTAGTAGAGATGAATTCGTTTGTCAAGTGACTAATTGATTATTCGTCGGTATCATCGTTGACCCACAAGGATAAAAGACAATTTTAAGACAAATGCTATTATATTTTAAATGTATATATTTTTTTTAATCAATAATTTACCTTTATAATATTCTAATTCTAAAGAATCAATTAGTTCTAAATTAATTTATTAATACTAAACATTCGTTTTATAGAGCTGTTTTTATAAAACGTCTACATTATTTGAATGATTTACTTCATTACTTTCCTATATTTTTATATTATTTAAATATATATTTTTATTTATATACCTAGTTATTATATTTATTATATTATCGTCAATGTAATAATGACAGATACATTTTTGTAATTTTTTTTTCGTATGCTATATTATGTTGTCACAAGATTAAGTGTCTTAATGGTATTTGAATTTTTGAAGAACGATAATACTTCAATTAGCTACCTTAGTGAAATAATCACTTGGAATATCTAAACAAAATAATACTCTATCTTTAGCTTCTCTTATTTCAATATACTATACTATCAACACTTGTTGTAGGTAGGTAGATAGGTACTATCAAAAGAATAATCGTTTAGAATTTTGGTGAAAATTACAAACGCAGTTTTAAAACCATTTATGTTGTATATATTTAGGGTCAATTTTGATGTAAATTAACTAGGTACACCTAGAATATTGCGTAAATCCGACCTCTTATCGTTTGCTTTCAATAGCCTTAAAATCAATAAAAAGTAGTGTAATATAGGTACTTTATATTGACAATAAACGTATAAATGCTTATAATAAAATATAGTTACATTTAAAAAATAATTATAAGATGTGAAAAAAAACTAAAAATCAATTTTTATTGTTGGTCCACTTCACCGAGCAGCCACTTGCTATATTTGGGGGCCCCAAATTTCAATTTGCCAACTTACCCACTAGGTGAGCACAACCGCTTTTGTAGATTTTAAGATTTGATTTGAAGCTTTGCAATTCTGTGCTTGGTTACTTATATTTGGTGTCCGTTCATTATAACTGACTGCTTTTTCACAATATTATATTATTACCTACTCTGGTCAGTGGCGAAAAAAAGTCTCGTGTTTTTCACCAGAATTTTAAAGTGTTAGTAGCTTACCTTTATCTATTATAAATGTATATAAAGTAATATTATGTAGGTACAGCCGTTTGTTCTTAGTTTACCATACGATTGTTCGAAAATAAGATTAATATAAGATAGTGTAATATTTTATGAACGGTTTTTTGTTTTTAAGTACTGTTTGAGGTTATGTTTGCAAAATGTTAACGAAATATTTAGATAAATAAAAAAGTCAAATTAAAATATGTGTGAATACTTTTGAATACAAATTTACAAGTGGCTCAATTTTATGTAATATCAGTATTATACTGACAATATAATATTGTACGAACTATACTACTTATGACTGTCGCATTATCAAGAAATGTGTTCAAAAACATGTTTTCGTATTTCATCAAAACATTAAGATCAATACCTATATATTTTCGATTTAGAAAGAAAATAACTTTATCTGTGTTTTTAGGAAATAAAAACCATTCATTATTCGATTGCCAATAAAATCAAATGTACATACAAGTACCTAATCCTTTAACAGAACAGAGATAAAATTTACCTATTTCAGACGTATGGAAAAAAAACAATATTGTATATTGACCTACGTACAATCTTTGATTGACAACTAATGAAATACGGTTATTAATTTCGTCAGACTTATGTAGCTATTGTAGTATTTTGCAAGATTTATTTTTTATATAATATATATATTAAAATGTTAAAGGAATAAATCCAACTACATGGATAAGTACCAACCGAGCCGATATATGAAAATAGTAGGTACCTACTAAGAATATGTACTTCTATTATGTAGGTATTCGAATATGTTGAGATAAGTGTATAAAATATACTGTTATATATTATAAAATATATAACACACACAAAAAACCTTGGGACCGGTCGATCGATGTACTTTTCTTTCTATAAAACTTTAGATAATTACTTAAAAGTGTTATGGCACTGCACCGATTGTGATAGGTTGTCTTTCAAAAGTACAAAATAATGGAAAATTTGCTTTCCACCGGACTCACTTTGTATTACTACATAGTTTAACATTACCAGTGAAATTATCAAACTTAAAAATCAAAAACATTATCTGACTATAACGTTTTATTAAACCAAAAAAAACGGTAGAAATTTGTAAACGTAACTATAACGAAATACGATAAATAAAAATAACAAAATATATAATAATATATCATTAAAAAAAAACATAGTGCAAAACTTAATTTATAGAATATCATCAAACGAAAAATATCGAAAAACAAAATAATTTATAAGTTATGATATTGGTGTCCTAGAAATATTTATTTCATAGGGTTTATTATATTTTATTCCCAGCATTAGTTATTATTTTAAAATTGAATATTTATTAATTGTTGGTAAAATAACGTTTCAACTCTAAACAACGATAAACGCAAAACTTGTACATCGTTTCACTTCTAAATAACGATTAACGCAAAATGTGTGTAACGTTTTAATTGTAAATAACATAAACAATTATTTCAAATTTGAGCCCTGGACGAAACACATTCAAGCAAAATATTTTATTTTTTGTTTTTGTATAAAATTGAGTAAAATAACTCCATAAGAGTAAAGCAAGAGGACACTCGATTTTTATATCATTATTATTAGGAATTCTAGTATTTATCAACTCGAAAATATCTATATGCACCCATATGCACTAAAAAACAACAAGTATGCACTTAAAATACGTTATAAAAAATGTATAATTTATTATTATTGGGAGGAATGCGGCTCAAAAGTATATCGTAGGAACACGCACTTGACGGTCACTATGTCGCCGTTGCCTCTGTCGATAGAGGTACTCGAGCGTCGTAAAAAAACACTTTGGTCCTCGTGTTAGTTACCAGCTATATAATATATACCTATCATTATTATTTCTGTAGCCATTACGTAATTCTGACCATCTGCAGACTACGTGGCAGGACATTCCGGACAAGAAATTCGGGGCTTAAATAAAAAACGAGACTGATTAGTGGTCACTGATTATCCGATGTCGGCTGGTAACGTCTGTAGCTAATGGTACATTAAGTTAGACGCATTTGTCATCGCAGCCAGACACGAGTGTAGGCTTACCGTCGATCGTCGTCGTACATTATAATATGATACCATCGAATAAGACGTATACAACGGTATGGGTATAGCAGGGGTGCAGGCCAAACAGTTTATCTTGGACAATCTCTAAGTACTGTATTGTTGGAACTTATTACTATATATTTGGATAGTAGATAATAGTTAGGTACATAAATATTTTGGATTAATCTTGTGAAATGGAATTTTCTCACACGAAAATGATAAAATCTGAGTACGGAGCTACACATTTTGATGATAATTTAGAGTAGCATCTTGGTTTAGCCTCAAGTTACTATTCATCAGATTACAATTAACTGTAGGCCAAGGATATACGATGACACTTTTCTACGTCAACTGCAATATAATGTTAAACGTTCATTTTTATTTAATTTTACGTTTTAATATATATATTCATATATATATATATAAGTATATTTATTATTAATATTGTTTATAAAGAAAGACTATTAAATAAAAAAAAAAAATACTTTTTACATGAGTTGATACTCAAAAGAAAAATATTTAATATATTCTCAGTAGATCTTAATCAAACAAAGTTTGGCCACTGCTGATATTAAAATATAGCGTATAACTGTGTTTCATAACATCATATTGCAATAAATCACATTTGCCTTCACGGGATTATTATTTATCGCATACTCGTGGTTGACGGTTGCGACGTTCGATATTTTATTATTGTTACTGTTAATCTCCGAGATAAAACGATTAACCGGTAAGTCTCCTTGATACGATCGATTCGTCGGTTTTTGTTTTTTTAATATTTAATCTCCCCGCTCGTACTTCCACCGACGACGCCGCCGTAAATCCAATTGCTGTATTAAACAAACAAACAAACCAACGTTCATCGTACCTATTTGATAAAACCTGCGGTGCAATAAACCTGTCGGCCGGGATTTTTGGCGATAACCTTTTCGGATCGGCGATAATACGATCGCATTGTCCCACTGGTGTTCTCACATCGCACTCGACCCCACGCACTTAACACTGCATGGTTCACCTAGGTTTTCACTGCCGGACCAACTGAATTATCATTTTTTATTTTCATAGAAATAGTAATATAATCGATAGTGTTGATTTCTCGTGGCGTCCATACGGTGTGTATATATAAAAGCATGTATAGAACACATTGTTAGTACTAGCCGGTAAACCGTTGTACCAACCAAGTCATTTTCATTGTCGATCGCGAGTTTCGCTCACACCACTGTCTACGTGACGGGTGACTGTTTCGTCTCACCAGCATCATCGTCTGCACTGCCCGCGATATTACTTTTATTTTTTTATTGTTATAATCATCATATTATAGTGTTTACGACACCCGTTCTCGCCATCGCGCCCAAAGGTTCGTAACCTGAGTCTCGTCGGCTTAGTGACGGCCACTGGTGGATATTATACTTCATACCGTAAACCGCGACGACGGTAAACCGCTGAGCCATGGTGGAAGTACAGTCGCAGAGCGGGAGTCCCAAGCCAATAGTCGTTAGGAGATGCACGGAAGTGCCCATGGCCATGGGGTCACCAACGGCTTCGGAGATGACGCGTCGCCGGCGCCGGCGTTCTCGTCTCATGTCAAATGCCTCGTCAGTGGTGTCGGCCGCAGCCGCCGGCATCCCGGCCTCCGAAAAACATAAGATATCGTGAGTACCTATATCATAATTATGCCGTAATTGTGGGTTTTAATATTGCGCTTGTTGAGGAGACGTAATTTACAATTTTAAAATGATTATAACATGATACAAAATTAAAATATTAAAAAAATGCGACTTGACGGTCCCTGCAGGATTATTAATAATTATTAATTTAATTTGAGAAGAGTTCAGTCAAGAATAGGTCAATTCTATATGAATATTAAAAATTAAAGAGGAAAACGGGGTAATCTGAGCGTAAAATGTATTGTGTTATGCGTTGGTAAGGCTGAGACAATACATGCGGTTATAACTGCAGTTTTTAGTCTTTTTCAGCGTATCACCTGAAGGGCTGTAGCCAGACTGGAGATGTAAGCTCGGTAAATTTTTACCTCAAAAATTTACCTTTAAGATAAATTACGGGTAAATTTACCAATTATTTTTTACAGGTAAATATTTTTTTACCAAAAAAATTATCATGTGGCACCTCAAATTAAACGGCTTCACGGGGCCAATATTCATCAGTTATAACATATATTAATAAAATGGAATAGTTTAAATTATAAAATATAAAACGTCCACAACCACTGATAGTGTAGTACCTATACTACTTAACATTAAACATACGAATACACCATAAGAATATCTGATACGATCAATTATTATCGCAATTAATATAAATTTGATTTTATCACAGATATAGATAATAAACCACGTTTAAAATATTAGTAATGTTAAACTTTTGAAGGCTTTGGAGCACCGGTTAAACGTCTCTGATTATTTTTAAATGTTTTATACGCAATTTTTATTATTTTGAACACATATTAGAACTAGGACCTCGGTCCCTAAATTAGAAAATTTAAAAATAACGACCACAGTGTTCAATTGAACATCCTACAATCCAGTAAATAAAAAAAATAAATGTAGCCATAGTTATAAGTTCATGGAAATGCGAAAAATGCTGCAGAGAATAGTTTCTGGGGGTGTTCCTAAAGTAACATACCAAAATTATTAAAATTTACCAAATTTACGGTCTACCAAAAAAAAAATTTAAGTCAATTTTACATCTCTAAGCCAGACCACATTACTAAGGTTGGAAATTTCCATTTTAAGGTGGTTATATTTTAATGTAGCCATAACCAGGAAAACCTGTATCATTAGGTACCAGGAGGGAGGGGGAATTTCCCTCATTTAGCTAATTTGGGCTTACGGCCCTGCCGGGTGCAGCACTCCATGCAAACTGAATGGAAAACGGTGCTTCAAGTAAAGTTATCGCTCCAAGGTTTACGGCACAAAGCACTACAGTATCGGTAGCTTTTAATTGTTACGCCGAAAAATGAAATGAAAATGAAAATGTGACACAAAATATTTGCTGTAAATTAATCTAATTTCATCGCCTTTTTTTTCTCGGTATTCGACGGACGCACTGGAATCTCTGCACAGCAACAACGAAGCGCTTATGCACATGGTAAAGGCCACCATCGGCGGAGGTTTTCTGGCCATGCCTGAGGCCTTTCACAACATCGGTATAGTAATGGGCGTCGTGGGCACCTCAATTCTAGGCCTTTCCGTGTTGAACATGATGTCGTGCATTGTGAGTATACGCGGGGAACGTATTTGGGCTGATAAAACCCAACCAGAATAAGTATAGAAGTCGGTTTTGACGCGGCCACAATTGCTGAGACTGGTCTTGGGAGATATATCGAGATTTAAATGAAAAAAATACAAACGGTACGGGATTTCAACCCGCGATTCAAGCGCTGGATTGCCGGACGCGTATCTGTGAGTTACCGCGATCTTATCATAATATTAACCTCGATATTCTCCCTCTTGGGCCAGAGTGGTAGTGTCTATGGTTGAGAAGAGAAAGCAGGCATTTTTGAAGTTTAAGTTTTAAGTTTGCAGCCTCCCCAACAAGAAAATCGACCTTCCGGCCCTTTTGAGTGGACCAGATTTTGGAAGTTATGAATAGTATATAATATATTTGTCAAAAGCACCTGCAATGAAATGCAGATGTGGACAAGTCCACCCCTAACTTTTGAAACGCATATTAAAACACCAGAGAACTTGCTCGTTGCTTTCATTTTCAGTGTACCTCGTCATTGAGTAGGTCACTAACACCGCGGATGTGTTGAATTTAATTTAATTACAAATAATGATTCCGAGTGAACTTTGTAATACTAATTATTAAGTATATTTTACAATATACTTATAATAACTTATGAGGAACTTTGTGCCAGATTTTCATTAAAAATTATCAATTTTTTTAAATCTGAGGGTTGTAAATGTCTTCCAAAATTTGTCATATGTACCTCACTTAAACCCAAAAATCTAAAAAATATAAAAGCACATTTTTTATAGTAAACATTTATGTTTAAACGTTTACGAGATTTTGTATTTAAACGAAGAATAACAGTTTTGGATATTTTTTTTATCTTTCAAAAATATTATTTGAAACTTTACTACCTTACTACTAAACGTACCAATATGGCTATATTATTTATTCTACTACTACGTTTTAAAAATATTTAGACTAATTTTAAGGCATTGTCTATTATACTATGAAGCCAAGTGATCCCAGATTTTTTTTAAATAGTTCTTATTACATAATAAGGGCATTCAATTTTTAAAATGTGAGTCAGTAATTTTTATTCTGTTTTCAGTGTTTTGTTAATAAGTACTTAACATACTTTCAATTGATGTAAATCGGTTACTTCATTGGATAGGTATGTTGACTGATAATTATTTATTATTGTTTTACTAATGGCCAAAATATCGTAGACGGAAAAATAAAGATAAACCAACTTAAAAAACCATTAGGAAACTAAATGTAAGTTAATGTCTTTAGTCAAGAATTTGTACCTGGACAAAAATGCCACACCCAAATAAATGTAAGAATTCGGGAAACACTGTCTGCTGTATATTAGCTGTAGTACCCATTGTTATTGACCTTGCCAATGTAAAGAGTAGAGTATTTGAGTAGTCCCTCTACAAATATAATTTTTGAATTACAACAAAATAACTAAAATTATTATCTTTTATTTAAATATCAAACTCGTCAATATTTTAGATACCTGCTATATATTATCCATAGTAATGCAAGTTCTCTGTTTTTTTTTTTTTTTTTTTTTTAATACGTTATTGGAACAGTCACATTTAATAGCACTATTTGTTCAAAACTGCACTTTGATCATCCGGTCCTACAGTATAACTAATAATTATATGAAATCATATTTTGTTTTATCGACACTATAAAAATACTATAGTATTTTGTGAAAAAACTATGATCACCATTTTAATTTTAAGTTATAAAAGTACAGTAAAACCTCCATACATCGGACACTTTATTATAATACGGGAATATTTTTAAAATAGTAAATAAAAATGGAATCTCCTCTATAAAGGACAAATCGGTTTGTACCGAGTGATTCAGTTATAAGGAGGTTTTACTGTACTAATAAAAGCGTATTTTTAATTTTAATGCATTTACTCAAATTACACCACTGATACATGCATTTTAAAATATGCCTAAGATTGTACCTCCTATACTATATACATTATATTATTTTTATAATATAATTTGCTTTGACGATTGATTTTATGATTTAGGTCCGGTGCTCGCAGACACTGAGGTCTGGCAAATACGTTGACATCATCTTGGCCGAACAAAACGGTAAAAAAACCATGGTCAATGGAGAAAATGATGGTAACGATGACAATAAACAGCCGCCGAGACATCGGGACAGCAATGAGTTGGTTCTGCCACCAATGGACTACCCCGATACCGTAGCCGCTGTATTCAAGTATCGCGCCCATGGACGATTCGCCAGGTTCGAGTCATTTGCCAGGTAAATATATCGTTCGATAAATAATTAACCATAATGTGCACGTGGCGTGATAAGGGTTCAGTAATGGGGGTCATATCTAAGATGAAATCCCAGTACCTTACGTCACCATAGCTGCCATAGGGTATAATAAAGGAACAAATGTATATAGTAACAAATTTAGAGTTTAAATAAAAATGTTTGGTGTCTTCTATATACATAACTATAATGTCTTCTTCATAAATACGCGACTGTCCATTTTCCCCAACCCTATACACAACATTGATGTAAGGTGTACCTAGGTATACCTACTGTATAGAGCGATACGTATGATCACCTTCAAATGTATTTGATACATTTCTATCACTATTTTAAACAAAAGACCCACGCTATGAATACAATTTAATTTGCTCATTAACATTTGAATTTGATACAATTAACCTTGTACACTTTTAAAAATTTTGCCAATTTACCATATTATTTGTTTATTTCAACGTCTTGCTAAATTATGTTTACAATTAGAATGGCATACCCACATGTGTTCTCACATTCTTACATACGTACAACATAACAAATTCCAAGTTCATAATAATCAAATTTCTCAGTTATTTTTGAAATTAGAGTGAAAATTTAAAAGTAAAATTATTTTCTAAGGTATCTCAGAGACTTTTGTTGATATAATAATTATAAATGCAAATTATGAGTATCTTAAAACTGTAAATGTTTGTAAATATTGTCCATACTTTTCTTCAAAATTAAAATATCAATAAAAGTCTCCAAAATACACTACATTATAATGTTACCTTTTCAGATCAATTCACTATAATTTTAAAAATAAAAGAGTAAATTTTGAGACGAGGTGGCCGAGTGGACTAAGGCGTCGGTTATGAGTTTGAGACGCTCACCGACGCCGGCTCGATCGTGGCTATGGGTGGCATTTTTCTTTCGGCAGTGTCCGGAGAGAGAGGCCGCCATCCCCCACCCGGGCATGGCAAATACCTACGGGTGCTCACTAGAAAATTTTGCCTAACACAAAAAGTCAAAAACGTGTTCCTCCAACCGTTCCCCGGATTTAAGACCAATAAAAAAAAAAATAAAGAGTAATTATATTATTGTAAACGTATAACTTGCTATGTTGTAAGACGTTGTTGTACGTTTTTAAGACGGAGTCAACTCATATAGGTGTGGCCCTCCCTTTATATACAAAACTACCTATTTATCAATTGGCTGTCTTACGTATTTGGAAAAGCACTCAGTGGGGGCTTGGATATATTTCTAAAAACAACACTAAAATACGTATAGCGCTATCACCAATAACCATTACCTCTCTATTACTGCTACGGATAATGGTTTCCTAAAGGTTTCTTTATAATTTTTATTTGGTCTAAGTGTTTCACTGAGAAAAGTTTTTGTGGACGCCTAAGATATAAAATGCTGTTAGATAGGAACAAACACATAAACAATAATAAATCAATTACAATACACAATATACGATATCACAGTAATAAATAAATTGGTTAATATATTACTAGAAACGTCATAAAAAACTTATAAATAAATACAAAAAGTAATTAAAATATTGAAAAGACGTAAATGTGTATAAAATGACTTTAATAATAAAAAATTGGGGAAGGATTGGCCGAGAAGATTAAATCGTCGGTTGCTACGAACCGACGACGAATTGAACCCACCCGCGGGCGGCATCTTTCTTCGGATAAGTCACGGTGTCCACCCGGGCATGGCAGATACCTACGGGTGCCCACCAAAAAGTCTGTCAGACCAAACACACACGTATTCACACAAAACCACAGTTTCACAGGCTAATAACCTCAAAAATCATCAAACCCCACCCTCTATAAAAAAAAAGAAAATAATAAATTGTTTTTAGTTGGTACCTATGTGTGTGAGTTAGATAAGATATTCTGTAAGGTTTATTACTTTAATTCATTGAAATTCATATTGCTTTCGTGTATTTATTCATTATGGAAACGCAGGAAAGTAATTATAGGGCCTTTATGATACTGCAATAGTGGTAATAATAAATAGTTGTTATTATTATTATTATTATTATTTAAGTTTAGTATTATATACTATATGAGAACAATCATATAATTGAGAATAATTAAAATATGTAACACCAATATATTAATGGTAAAATATTTGTTTTTATGTTTCGTCAATCCCAACCACGTCTCAACAACAACTGTGTTACCATTGAAAACAGAAACTTTACAAGTGCCTCGCTGGTGGCAACCTATTATGGAGTGAACATAATTTACGTATGCATTATAGCCAGCACGTGTAAACAGGTAGGCACCACGGTTCACGACCTTATTCGGGTTACCGGTATATTATACATTATGTTAGTTAATTGGAAAGTCAGAATATACCTAATTCAAGATGTAGTGTGAATATTTTAGTGCTATTTTTTAATGTTATGTATATCCACAATAGTCACTAATTAACATTCGAAACAAAGCTATTTAATACAGTAACTCTTGATAATATTGAGAAAAAAAACAATTTTGAAATTTATTGAGTTTTGAATGAATGAAAATAATTTATAATAACCCAACTAAATTTTAAAATTTGACTATTTTTTTAATATTTTAAATTTCCATAGTAAGCGCAATTTATACGTGATCCGAAATAGTACATTTCATTTTAATAAAAAAAAATTAGAATTCAATATAATATCAAATGAAGTTGATATTTAAACAAATTTAGGTTCCTACATTATGCATCGTTAGAATTTTAAAACTATGATACGTAACCGGTATTGATGATGCTCACAGAGTATAATCAATATTTTTATTAGTATTATTATTTAGGTACTTTATATATTGCTAATTATAATTTAAATATGATGTATTTAAACATTTTATCAGATAAGACTTAGTTTGATTTTGACTGCAATTCAATTTAAATGTAGTTTAAATTAACAGGTGTTATTGATTTGATAATAAGTTCAAAGTTCATACCGGACTTCTTAGAAAAATCATAGGAACAAATATAAAACATTAACGAGTAGTGTATTTATCTTTGGATGTACACTATCTACCTTTCTAATAAAGAATTGCACACAATTTCCTGTATAATTGAAAATACGAAATACTATGAAATTGATAACATTGAAAAAAACTGTACTAAATTAATATTCACACTATTCAATATTGAATTGGGGACAAGTGTTACAACTGTTACAAGGTTACTCGTTACTATTAAATATCAATTCACCAACATACTTTGAACCTGTACATTTATAATAACGTACTCCAATACCTATGATGGTATTGTTATAACGAAATTTACACCATGGGTATCCCCCCACTGTTTCAGCTCGTCGATCAGCATACCGCTGAGTCGGTTGAGGGCTCGTTTGGCAATTCGATGCACGGGCTGTCCATCCGCTGGTACCCGATAATAATCTCATGGATAATTGTCTGTGTGGGTATGATCAAGTTGATGAAGTACTTGGTCCCGTTCTCGGTGGCCGCCAACGCGTGCATGCTTGCAGGTACCGCTGCCGTGTTTTACTTCATTTTAATCGGCGACGACAGCCAGGACCCAATCCCACCCGAGGAACAAGCCAAGCTGATTGTATGGCCGGCCACCCGCTGGACGTTGTTCGCCGGCAGCTCATTGTGCTCTTTAGAAGGAGTTGGAATGGTAATTGCTATATCACACATATCATATTTTGATTCAATTGTAACGGAATGTATACTATACGATTACGATTAAAACATTTAAAAAGCTAAATATTATTTTCACAAATTTAGTTTCACCGTTTTTATAAATAATTGATAATAGTATATTGTGTGTGCAAGGGCGGAAATCGCCTTCTATTTACTAATACTATTTTTTGTCATGCCTCTACATTCATCGATCACGGCAAAGGTAATACAGGGATCTATGCAACAACTAGACCATAATTCTATGACAACAATATTTCATGAAAGAAACGATATGGTTTTATTTATTTTAAGCTTCACGCATGGAGGTTATAATATGAATATAAGATGTAACCAAAAGTTTTGTAATTACCGTGGTATAGATTTCAGTGACTGGTTGTGCTGAGGATACGCTCGTGATATGTGGGCCCATAACTTTTGGGGTTTTCCACTTTACCGCCCGGCACTTCTTGGGAATCCACTTTACCACCTGGCATTTTTAGGGATTCCCACTTTACCGCCCACTGGACGGAAAATAAAAATTCAATAAAAAACATACATAGGTAGGTACTGTCTATAGGCGGAGGGATTTGCACACTAACATTAATTTGTCCCGGACGCAATCATTCATGGTACTTCTTCACCAACAGTTAATTATTTTAAGTTCCTAATGTGATATTGCCATAATATAGGTAGGGCAGGCAAAATATAATATCATTATAGGTATAAATCATAAATCATAATCACATATTTATAAATTTCCATATCTTTAGCTCCTAAACATTTGTATACTTTTCAAGAATCAAAAAAACTATAAAATTTCAAATGACAAGATTCTCGAGCGTTAGTGATTCCTTGTGAGCTTAAACTTTTTGCTGTCCATAAATGTGGAGGAAATATTTATTTTTCATTTATATAGTATGTAACAACTAAATAACTTTAATAGTATAATATTAAATAGTAAAAATGACCAGATCATACCTATATAATGTAGGTACCGAAAGTTAGAATATTCTAGTTTTCACTAATTTTATTCGTTATCTCTAAAAATTTAATTATCTGTATTAATCGATCACCTACTAACCTAATCATTACGGTATTAACAAGATTACAGCATTCTCTGTACATTGTTTCACCTGTAATCTATAGCTACTTATCGATTGGGAAGTCCATAGTCTTTTTTATTGAAAATATCTACAAACCACTTTAAACAAGTTTTTAATAATATTATGTTATTGAAACATTTTTGTTTTATAGTTATTATTTTTGTTAAAAAAAAAAAAAATTGGGAAACCACTGGGAACTACTTAAAAAAAATTTGGAAGTGAAAAAATAACACGAATTTGCCTCTTGGTCGGAATTCGTTCAAAAAGGTTCGTTTACCTGTTTTGGTCCTCAATTCGGGTGCACCCCTATTATTATTGGGATCGCCGATCATAGATATAAGGAATACGGATAATCGTTTTCTACGTTTGTACCTATGTAGTATAATTATAATTATTTTATTAAGTCACTACCTACAAGATTTATTATCATATTAATTAATAATCAATAATTAATCATATTACACTTTACCTACGAAATAAAATGCAACTGTGTAGAGTAAATAGATCAAGTTATTCTATTTATTATAGACCACAAATTCAGTATTAGTGATAATATACAAATGTTTTGAAAAATCTAATAGAAATCAACAAGACATGTATTAATAATATCTAAATTTATTTCTTAAACACATATAATTAATATTTATTTTAAATCTATTGATGTCATCGTCATTTTATTTATTTTGGTTATTCAGATTAATTTGTTTAATAACGGACTCCAATATTTTAAATATACTTTTTACGACCCTATAGTCGATGTGTTGAGGATTAATTATCACGTATTAGTATTATGAAAGAGTATAAAATATCACGTTAAAATATTGGATGGTATCTGATATTCAATATAATATAGGCATACCTATATAATATTTTTCCTTGCTAAATAGACAAATTAAAGAATTACGTTTTGTCTCCATAAAAGTCTTAACGATAAATCTTACACACAGTAGTAATATACTACACTAGTTTAATCTCTAATTAAATACTTTTTCAACTGAGCTATAAACGTGATTGAATAACATTATATCAATATGAAACACAATCATAAAATATTATATTTATTACCTACCTACTTATATTATTATAGCTGTATCGATTTTCCTGCACATTATAAAGTTAATAAGTAGTTGTAAATTGAATGAGTTAATTTCTATAGCTGTAGTTGGTAGTATTTTTCCAATACTGGACTGCAATTGGTTTATAGCGGTTTATAACTTATGTGTGTGTGTATATATATATATATATATATATATAAATTTTATGGTACGATAATAATTGATATACAATTATATTAACATAATTTTTACTATATTATTACAGTAATTGATTCGTAGTTCTTAAAAGCCTTGACTATGATGGAATACTACACATCGGGGCTATAATAATATATATATACATTTATACATATATATATATAATATATATGATGATGATTAGGCATTTTTAAAAATGGCTAGTCTATGTTGACTCTGACATTTCATAGACATTGATATTATTGGCTACGTAGTCATTTTAAATAGTGCCTTACTAAGACAGATAATGGTAGAAACAATATAATATTAATACATCATTTTTGTGATTGGTCAGTGATTGTCGTTATTGATTAAGACTATGCGTAATCAATGACAATTTAGTGAATGAAAAAGAGATCAGTTTTTAAAAAATAACTTATACCCATAACTTTCGTAATTCTCAATTATTTTCGTGCAACATTTAGCTTACATTTTTCAAAAATATATGTTCCAAATCAGAATAAAAAGTCCTATTTTTTTTAAATTGAACACATTTTATTCCCGATGCTCTGTCGTTAGAATATTTTTCAGCCATTCATGTTTCCAAAATATTTTCAACATTGTGATTTGCTTGTTGTACCGACCCTAGGCTATGGCTGTGCCTTGGTTTGCCATGAACTATTTTAAGAGTACCCCACATGAAAATAAGCACACAAATTAAATCCTATTTCATTAGCAAGTATTTATTTTAACGGTCTGTAGTACAAGTTTTGTTTGATGGTACTGACAATTCATAATAAATTTAAATTCATTAAGACTTCGACTTTGCATATCAATAAGGTCAAATTCTCCTCGTGAGTTGAATGCAATATGAGATATTAGTTTAGATTCAATGATTCGTTTTCACAGTGCCGATAGAGAATTAAATACTTAAATAGATTATAATAGTTTAATTAATAATATTACAATAATTTGTTTTTAATTCATAAACCATGCCCTCGTTTGATACAAATCATTTAATACATAGTACTAATGTACACTTTCTAAATTGTTGCTTATGGATTTAATGAATCATTCTTTCCTATTGAGTTTTAGTGCATCATATGTATATATGCATCTGTTTATATTATAATACTTTGCACTTTTCTCCTCCATTTTTTTCCTACATTTTTCTTTGACTAAGTTCACTTCTTGTAATCGTAATATATTCCAATTTAAAAACAATTTATAATCCACAAGTTTATTTTTTAATCAATCATATTTTAATGCATTGTACATTTTTTGACGCATTTTATTTGGATTTAAAATATAATTAAACACTTAAAAATTAATTACAATGATACAAGTAGGTAAAAAAAAAAAATTATTTGAACTAGTTAATTTTTGCAATATACTTAAGTACAATGCATAAAACAAAATATAGGTATTTTGGAGTTCCAAATAATTTCGGTACCGAAAAGTATAATCATTTTAAATACAAAATATCTATAGGTTTAATTCATAGTATAAGAAATATTAGATAGCTCATATTATGTTCGCACAGTTTATACACAAAACAATAATACCTAACATCAAATTATGATAAATACATTTTTTTTTTTTTTTGAACCTAAAAGATCTTATCTAACTAATAAATTCCGGTTCAGTTTTGGCACTTTATTTATTATACCAAAGGTTTCAGTTCAGGTTCTGGTTCTTAATATTTCAAATGTTTAGGTTCTGCACCGGTTCTTTTAGGTTTGGTTTCAGTCCTTGCATTATATATTTACTATATAGTTGTACGGCCATGTTCAGTGCAATAAAGAATATTAGAGTTCCCTAAAATTGTACTTGAAGTTATATGAAGTATCCAATAGGCAATAACCTACAACGATTTCGAAACCAGACGTTTTCATTATACGGTTTCGAAAATCAAAAGTAGGTAATACCATAAGGTAACAATACCTTTTTCCGTTTAAAACGTAAACAATAATGTAGGATAGTGTTATAAATAAAATTAATTACCTACATAATTTTTTAACTTAACAAAAAGTTTAAAAAATAATTTATCTTTAGTCCTTAGTTAAGGTGGAAGTAAATACAGATTTTTTTCTACTTTTGATTATTTCTAATCAATGCATATAACCTTCACCTAACAGATTTAAAAAAAAATCAATAGCTTGCCCACCTCTGCAGTTAACATGGAACACAATAATATAATATTGAAACGTTTAATATTATACGCGCATTATGCGTTTACTAAATTTGTAAGCTTAAAACATTTTGTGATATGGTGTAACCTGTTTTGTGTTCTTTGCATGTACCCGTGCCATCGTCCGATCAACACACAAAAAGCTATTGCATATAGAGAATGCTATGAGCAGGCCGCTGGAACTCGCCGGACCACCTGCTTACACGCTGCACCGGTCCATGGTAGTCATCGTCATAATGAACAGCGTACTGGGCCTATTCGGATACCTGAGATACGGCGACAGGTGCGCGGGCAGCATATCGCTCAACCTGCCACAGAACAGCTAGTTAGTACCTATGATATTATGCGTTTTACTTTTTTACTTTTTTTGGGAGGCATAATAAAATATATGCTTCGTGTACTTTTACACAAGGTGCATTAAAAAAAAAAATAATAATAATAACAATAATAAATTAAAAACCGAATACTAATCTGAAACATAAAATATATTATAATGGTCCGATAAAAAACTCGTTTCTCTACGACGTCATTTCTAAAAAATAACTTTCCAAAACTATATACAAAATTGTTCCCCATGTGGATGCCACGTGATAGAAGAATGTTGACATGCAGTCGTATTATATTTCCTGCATTTCGGCTACCCGGTGAGCTGCACCTAATCGTGGTCTTAGGTATCTACGCAGTTAGAGCTGGTTAGGTAGGTTATACAGGGTCATCTATTTATCTGGCTTCACTTATTAGTTATTTCTCAATCAATTTCTGAAGAATATATTTTTTTTATTAAAAAGGTTAATCGACCCAAAAAGTCGATTTTTTACTACTCATAACCATAGTGGTTGCATTTAATTTATTAATATTCATTGTTCAGTATTTAATATACATACCTGTCTAATGAATGTGGATGCATAAAATATTATGTATGAATTTTAAAACATATACTACAGAACTCTATTATTCATACTTCAGAATCGGGGATAATTTAGATTTATATTGGAGTGTAACTCTACTTACGTTTCACTGTACCTATTATTTGACATTTATACTTTATAAAATAAATAAACAAAACATATCAATAAAAATTATATAAAACAAAATAAATTATATTATTATTACTTATAACTTATAAGCGAGTATATATTTTGCATGTTGAACTAAATATATTTTTTTTAGTTAATAATATGCTCATTTATTTTGATATGTGATATTTTTTTTATTTTTAAACAAGATAATACACAATCTATTTTGATCTAAATTGTACAATAAGCGTATATCGAGGGCAGAAATCCCCCATATGACACTATATCTGATATTTATAATGTCAAATAATTTAAAACTAACTTTCATATAATATCCTTGGTAAAAAAATCACTACTATAGGTTCGATACTCAAAATAACTAAGTGAACAATAGTTAAACTTAGGTTAACCCGAGGAATTCGGCCTGTAAAATCAGTAGGATCAGCATAACCGAGGTTAAAACTATGATTGTATAACGGGCCCTAAGTGATAAGTACCTAGACTAACCAATCGTAATAAGTACTAATATTACAGTAGTAAATAATAATAATACTGAAGCACTTTACCAGTGTAATGAGTGTAAAATAAAAAACTGTAAAAATGTATAGTCGAAAATGATATTTTATATTTTAGTTGCGCAACCTTTAATTATAATTCTTTTCCACGAATCGACAGCCCGATACCTATTCAAGGAGAAGGGGATTGAATATAAATATTATTATATCAACTAAAATTACTTCACAGGAAAATGTCGATAGTTATTTTTTGATATGAAAGAAGAACTTTTAATCTCAGTTTATTAAAACATCAAACTTGTAAGTTAAGTTAATAAGTTTAAAATTAACTTAATTCTGAACTTATTAAACCATTTATACCCAAACTTGAAAATATTTACTATTATAAATACTTTAAACATGTATAAACATTTTATTTTTCAAATCAAAAAATTGACTAGAGAAATTAGTGTAGCCAGTTTAGTAGAAACCACTTTATACTACGCAGCGAAGAAATAGTTTTTCGGATTCGTTGCATATATTATAGTGGTATAATAAATTTAATGGTATAATATAGGCTGTCCGTGTATACTAATGTCGAAGTTAATATAGTCAGTCAAGCGACTAGTTTATAGTTATGTCTATAGAATTATTTATTGGTAATTAAACGTCTATGTTTATACTATATCTTCGACGATAAAACTACAACGCTCTAAAATACTGTCACCGCGACCGAACAAAATACTTAGGCAGGTAAAAAAAAAACTAAAACCCGTAGTCCTTGAACTTGGTAGTTGAATACGATTTACATAATTTCGATTTTGGTTTTTAATATTTCCATTAAACATTAGATCCTTCGTCGGAACCACCATGCACTCACGTCCCCCTATCAACAATTGAACTATGCACCTTTTCCGACGACTGATTCAAAAAAATAATTCAACATAATCACTTATACATAATTTTACCATTTAAGATCGTTATATAATTCCGGTTATAGCTCCATTAAATACTGCACGCAAACGAGCTCATTATACGCTTATAATTATAAACTGTTGTTAGTAAGTGTATGAAAAAAATTGATTTCGTTTTTCAATCGACCACTATGATTTTGACAACCTCATTATTATTAGGATTAATTTGTTTCAATGGGTTAATTAAATAGTTCCAGTCAGTGGTAGTATATCAAACAATGTACTAATAAAAATTAAATTGATGCATATTATGTACAGTATAAAACAGGGTAAAAGCGTTGAGAAAATCAACAATTAGATATTAAAAAAATACTAAATAATAATTGGTGTGTAGGCTGGACAAAGCGAAGAATAATATTATTTTGAACAAACGCAAAACAACCAAAAGCCAAACCATATAAAGTAGAACTATTTATAAGTACATAATAATATTATCATATTATTGTGTATGACTTGGTTAGGCCAAAAACCACAATAACGATCTTCCTCCCACCCCCCTATGGCTCGTTTAAATCCGCTATAGTTAACGCTGATAGTACTTATTTTATGTAATTCAGTTTAAGTTATTATTGTTGATATAGGTAATTAAAATAATGATGACGATTTATCATATTATAATATTATTTTGTTTTCAATATCAGTCTGTCGGAAGTCATCAAAGTGATGATCGCCCTGGGCATCCTATTGACGTATGGACTACAGCTAACGGTGACCACGGACCTGGCGTGGCAGGGACTGCGTAGCAAACTCGTTAAGTCCACGGGTGGATCTGATAGTGATGATGCAGCGAAGGACGACGATTCTTCTCCAAAAATGATAGCCTGCTACTACGGCATGCGGTTGATTCTGATATTCGGCACCAGTGAGTACAGTATACCGTATACTACGCAGTACACATCTATAATATTATGATAATCACTTGGCTAGAAAGAAATGCATCTCGTTTTCCGGTAACAGTACAAACCGTGTAAATATGTATTTTAGCCACCATAATATGCTTAACCAGGTGCTGACTGAGAGGGGGGGGGTTCTGAGCCAAATATATAATGGATAGAAAGTCACGAAATTCTTTTATTTTTTTAATGATGCATACGATTGGCTAAAAAACAGTGCATGCTGCTAGACTGTCTCTCGAATTAGACAAATGCTTAGATTTGTTGTACCTATATCATTTAAGAAGTGTGATCCTGTGGCTATACCAACTTAAATATTTTTACAAATTAGTATTTTTACCAAATTATTTTACTGTAAATTATTGAGCTTATATAATAAATATGGTCTTTAAGTGTAATTGAAAGTTATAATAATTAATATTGATTTAAATTTACATTGCAATTATAATTTATATTACAAGCCATTTGAAAAAAAAGATACCCTTAGCAACCTAGTAGAACTGTAAAAGGGTGTTGGGGGAATTTTTTTTTCCACACAGATTATCAAGGAGGAAATATGAGGGCTACAGCAATCACCCCCCCCCACACAAAAAAAAAATTATTGATCCAGCCATGCCGGGTTTGCGTCAACTAGGCCGTTTCGATTTACACGTCTCATTTCTCTCCAAATGTTACAGTAATGGTGGCCGTTGCCGTGCCAGACATCGGGCCACTCGTATCGCTCGTGGGCTCCGTCGGGTTCTCTCTGCTGGGCCTGGTCGTGCCGGTTATCATGGAAACGGTGTGGTTCTGGTCTGAAGAAGACGAAGACGGTCAAGACTTCTGGGACGGGACGGTGACGGCTTCAGCGGCGACGGTGACAACCTCGGTGACGGACGCTGGGTCGACCGTGGCAGTGGACGGCAGGTCGGCCACAACGGTGTCTGCTGCAGAGGGTGACGGTGAACGTAGGCTGTCTAGTCGCGGCGGCCGATGTCGCCGGGTCATACGGCACTTGAAGAACCTGGTCCTCCTTCTGCTCGGATTGATAGCGTTGGTTGGCGGCGCATTCTACAACATCCGAGACATCTTGTCTCCACCAACTACCACCTGACGGACGCGGTCGTTTCCGGTGTCAATTTATAATGCAAAATTATTTTCGTTGTTGTTTTTTTATATTATAATAATAGAGTTTACATTTTATAGACGTATTATTGACATAACCACGGGTATGCAGGTATTGTAGCGTGGATAAAATATGGTTGAAATACATTATATTATTATACGCAAAGAGGAAACATCAATAGGTAACACAAACGTTCTCAGTTATCAATTTGTGACTATAATCCACGAAATAATTGCTAACAATAATTATCGATAGATATGGAGTATTTCAACTCGATAATAGTATAAAATATTTGTTTTACCGAGTTTTCCTCTTTGCACGTTTCTCTTAATTTAGGAAGAATGCCATATTATAGTACCTACAATATCATGCATCTGTGGACATGATAATGTTATTTTTTAAATATAATAAATATATATATATATTATGACTATATGTTTTTTTTTACAATATTGGATACGATTTAAACGATTTCGGACAAAATACATTTGCAGCCTTGCAGGTAGTCGTACACTCGTACCTAATTGTGTGTCGTATTCCGTGCCTGTATTTATCGTAAATACTTTCTATATAAGAGTACCAGTACCTAGCTGCTTACAAATTCCACAAATCAGTATTTGAAAAAATCAATTATCTACCTAAATCAAGTATACGATATAATATAATATACCTAGCTGTTATTAACTTATAAAAAAAATACAGAAATAGGTACCACCGAACGATGTAAATGGCTTGTGTAGACCAGGTTTCCTAACCGCCTCGTTATGGCGAACCACAGATTAAGTTTTTTTTTTGTTAGGCGGCTTCCTAAAAAAAATAAAAAAATAAAAACAAATAAATTATGCAGTAATATTATAGTGATATTAATAATCATTTTGATCCAAGCAATTTCATCATTTAATTTTAATAATATAATGCAATATTGAATATAATGAAAACTGTATTATTTTTAAATTCAAATTATTTTCTTCTTTTTAAGAGTTTACGACTGTGGTGAACCATCAAAACTATTTTGCAATCCAATATTAAGTAAATTTCAATGGGAAACATTGGTATAATTAATGGTATAAATGTCATAAAATAAGTCTAAATATTTGAAATGTAATTTTGCAAAGTAAATAATAATGTACGTAGGTAGTGAAAAGTTTTAATTAGTATTTTTGGAATTACAGCCAAATAACTTAAAGCAATATATTTGATTCAAATATCAAAATTTATCTATTAACTTAAAACATACCCAACGTTCTATACGTTTAATCAACTCAAGTTTATTATTTTTTTTATCCATATTAACTATTAATGTAAATAAATGTAGATAAGAAAATTCGTAGTTTGATTATGTAATCATTATTACTAAACGGTAGGTATGGTCTAAATAACACCCTTTAGAGTTAGGTACTAATACAATATATATTTAAATATAATCAGTATTTATACTGCAGTGTAAATTGTGTAAATGAATAAGACGAGTGCCTTTAATAATTTAATACCCCAACTTTTTTAAATGATGTAATACATTATTTTTAATTCGTCTTATACAATAAGCAATAGATATTATAATATGTAGCTGTTACCAGGAGCAATAAATATTAATGATTAGGTAGTAACCAAAAATTATAAACGAGTAGCCTAGCGAAAAAAAAACACCTTGATAATTACCGATTCTATATATTCATACAGATAGTGTGGGTACTATTAAATAATACTTTTAATTAAATAGTGTTTGATAATGCCTTATTATAATTTAATGTATGGAGCTTAGAGATCAAAGGTGGTAGGTAGGTACTAGGTACATAGTAATTTCTAAACTATGGTTTATAGTTTATTGTTTATGGTTTGTGTATTTTTTGGCCATCGCCCTTGTATATGTTAGCTATCTTATTTTACTGAATTATTGTTGTGTACTGTACTAAATAAGGAATTTTTATTCCGTGAATTAATAAATAAATAAATGCTTTATGATGTTAAAAACTGAAGTTCTATTTATTCAAACGGTGATATGTTTCCATATTTTTTTAGCACGGATAAGTTAAGAGTTACCTAAATACAAACCAACAATTAATTTAGGTACCTACTGAATTTAGTAAATTAATTTGTTAATACATATATAAATAGCCAATAATGTATAATTTGATATGCATTCGCCCATATGGAATCAAAATTAAGTTAATTTTATCAAATGATTCTGGCTAATGTCAACAAGCAGTAAATTTAACAATTTCCATTTTTAATTTATTATTATGTATCATAAATAATTATTATTATATTTTTATTATATAAATAATTACAAAGAAATATAACATAGTAGGTAATCGTTAAGTTGTTAATATAAATATAAATCAATTCAGTTAAATTAATAAAAATTAAATTCAAAACATTTCAAATAACTTGAGTTTAAATTTTTAAATGGTCCATGATTAGCATTGGAAAAAATGTAAATAAATTTAATTTTTCAGATATTATTTTAAACCTATAAACATCATAACATTATAAATAGTTTTAAAGATTGTTCCAAATATATTATTACAAGTGTATACGACCTAGGTACCTATTTACAGATCGTGTAAAATATTTATGAGACGAAAATTAAAATATAATTCATGAACTGTGTTTAACAATTTTACTGACGGAATGTTTCCAGAATACCGAAAAAATTCAAAATAAAAGTTTAAAAATTAAATTCTTATTTACCTAATTCGAACATTGAGTGAAGTCAGCTATGCTATACAATACGTCAATACCTAAGTTAAAAACGTGCATTTTTATACATATTCACAGCCCTACTCATTCGACACGATCAATTGTGTTTCAAAAAACATTAGATTAACCATATTGTTATATTATAATATTGAACAGTATTTAATTCAAAATCACAATATCGTCATCATTATACTATAGTTTGCCGTCAACACATTATTTGAATTTGATAATTTGTGTTGACATGATAATCAAACGATTTAGTAACATTTAATAAATCAACTGTCAAGTAATTAAAATGCCTATGGCGATTTAATTCAAGACAACATTTCCCCCTAGGTCCTAAAGGAGCGACTTTGCCATGTCACACAGCCTCCAAACGGCCACTGATCATCACATTCAATAATGATTATGTGTGTATATGATTAAACATTTTACTATATACGTGTCACTCAAACTTGTCACTTCGGGTTACAAATATTTTTACATGTGCAAATTGTGTACTTGTAAAAATGCTGTTTTTTGTATATCTATAATGATATTTTATTATTGTTTTAGAATTTAACTTATTATATACAATATAGCTGTATATTACAATATATTTATACTACATATATAATTGTATATTTTGTGTATTCAATTTATTTCAACATCTTAGACCTAGTATGCTAATGATTACTGAATAATACATAATCTGAAAATAGTGATTAATTTAACGATTTCGTAATAACAGTGTTGTAAAAAATAGTATTCTTTATAGCTATGCTAATTATTTTATTGATAGTGTAAAAATTCATTATGTTTTTTTTAAGAAGAACTCTTGATAAGGTTCGTGTGAAACGATGAAAACCACAGCTGAAATAAAAACGATGCGTACCTACCAAACACCTTTCTGAAGAAATTTCATAGGTAATTCACACCTAGGCACCTATTTAAAAAAAAACCTGAATAGAACTAAATTTTTTTTTCTCATCGAACAGGTTTAATCATTAGCAAAACACTTAGATAGAATCTTTCTTTATGATAGATTATCCAGCAATTTTTTTTTTTATCTAGTCTATATTTTTAATGTTTATAATACTATAATATTATAACAGTCACATAATTTGTATTCTTCTACATCGAATTGAAAACGTATGATAAACACGATGTTATACTCGTGGTAAAATTTAGAATTGTTAGGTCATTAATTCTCTTCACAAAAAATCAATAAAAAAAATCTCTATATTACATAATATATAAATTTACAAATTAATTTATCCAACCAACAATTAATTAGCATTTTAAAAAACCAATAGTTAATAGTAAAAGTTATTGACAGTAATAAGTTTGATACGGCGGAATATTATGAATTATAATTAATAATTATAAATATATTTCTGATAAATAAAATTGCAAAGAAAATTTAAAAATATTATAATTGATAAACTAGATCCAGGTTAGATTTAATGGAATATTTCGTTTCCTATTTAGATGTAAGATAGGGTCCTACTCAAATTTAACATAAGTAGACGAATTGTAAAACTTTCTGATCCAATTTAAAACTAAATTATAGACTAAAAATTAAATAAAATTATTAAATAACAAATAGGAGTTCAATATTTCAATCCAAAAAACCTTGAATAAATAAATTATTTTAAAACTATAAATGTATTATATACATATCATAAACAAATTTGAATTTCCCGACTTTTCGAGTATAGGCAAAATATTCTCACTAGTTTCTGATTTTCTTCATGAATAATCATATTAAATTTTGTTGATGTTCTAACCATTTCAGTTTTTAAACTTAAATACATGCGACTTCAATATATTAATTTTATTTGTGAAGGTAAACATTAACTACCAAAAACGTTCATAGGTTTATTAAAATAATATTTTCCTTTGGCAAATATAACGGAAATACGTCATCTATCATGGTTCAAATGTTATTACAAAAACTCGTTGTTATTAATGTAAGCTTCAAGCACTGATTCTGAAAACTATAAAAAATTAATATATATTACAGATAAGGAGAGGAGAGTAATATCATTGGATTATTTGTGTAAACTCGATGCGAGAACTACGTAGTACAAATAACAATTTGATCAAATTATTATGTTACTGTTAACGTTATTCAAATAGACCAAGAACGATCAGAGTAAATAGTAGGTACACGATCAGAAATTCTGATTAAATAAAAATATAAACTAATAAAAATATAAAATATTTTTTAAGTATTGTGAGAATAAAAATTTATATTTCATAAATTTATGAAATCGTTTGCTGTTGTTTCGTACTGAATAATTACT